ATATTAATATAATAATATAATATTATTATTATTACTAATATAATGTATTTATATTTATTATATAATATTTAAATTATAAATGTAATATAAATGTTATATAATATTTAGGTTATTAATGTAATATATAATATATTATGTATTAATATATTATATAATATTTAGATTAGTAATATAATATATAATATTATAATATAAATCCTTAAAGATTGTATTAATTACAAAGTGATGGTTTCCTTTCGAGGAACCTCCTACGCTACTGACTCAGAATATGTGTAACGCGAATTCGCGTTGTTCGAGGGTCAATAGATAAACGAAACGTCGAAGAATAAAAGGATCAAAGCTGCCATAAAAGCAAACGACCAACGCTCGATTCCAGCTGGATAATGCTATCTTTCGTCAGCAAAGAATTTACATAACGAAAGAGAGAGAGAGCGAGAGAGAGCGATAAGACGCGTTTCAATACATTGATTGGATGAAGGGTATTAAAGATGTAACGAACGCATAGTAAAACAAGGCTTTTCAAACGTTGTATAAATTAAATCATCGCAGGCGAGTGTGCACATAAGCGCACGTGTTCTGACAAACCGCACCTCGGTTTGAAACTTTCAACAAACGATAGATATACGCGTACGTATATATATATATATATATACGCGTACGGATGACATACACACATACATACATACACAAAGGACCAAGCTAGCATAGACATCAATCGCACGCCGTCGATCGAAATTTATGCTTAACTGAGCATCTCATTAAAGTGACGTCATTAAGGCAAGGGAGACGGATAATAAACGTACGTGACTGGCGTGAACAACGAGCCTTGGACCTCTCCTTCTGGTTCTTTCATGACACTGAAAAAAACGCTCCCGACATCGGAGCCGTTCCGTCGCAAATATTGCCTCTTAATTGATTGTAAAATAACAAGTTGACAGTATGTCCTGCTATCTCGATGATTTCAGAGCGTTTCTTTATTATTTTTCAGCCTTTTCCACGCAAGTTTTCTTTCTCTTTTTAATGGACGTGTATGTGAAAATAAGATTAGTCAACATTTAGTTACATTACAATTGGTAATTCATATTATATATTAAGTATATAATTATATAATATATAATATAGTATAATACTATACATTATATTATAATATTAATATATAATAGCAATTTTTTTTAATGGATGCGTATATGAAAATAAAATTATTATAATAATTTATTATACATTATATTATAATATTAATATATAATATATGATAGCAGTATTTTTTTAATGGATGCGTATGTGAAAATAAAATTATTATAATATTAATATATTATACATTATATTATAATATTAATATATAATATATAATAGCAATATTTTTTTTAATGGATGCATATGTGAAAATAAGATTAGTCAAAATTTAGTTACATGACATTTGGTAATTTATATTATATATTAAGTATATAATTATATATATTACAATATATATATATATATATATATATATATATATATATAATATACTACAATATTAATATATTATATATTGTACTATATATTAAGATGACGTTACTTATGAATTTCATTTATTTACAATTTATGCTCTTAATTCTACTAGATTAAAGTAAAACATTTTCTCTATCTGAGATTAATATATTAAAAATGTCGAATCAATTCAAATTGCACGGAACATTCTTATATATTATTGAATGTGGATACTACGCGACGTGAAACAACGGACATTTAACCCGTTAAAAATTCAACAGTTCAACTGGATGGACGAGAGTCGGAATCGTGTTAGAGCGTAAGTATCCCGGGTAAAGCACGCTACGAGTTTTCAGCTGTCCAAGGTCGCTATCCCCACCACAATTTAAACCACAAAAGGTCCAGAGTTTGTTTGGTCTGGCACGTATCTTGTGTTTCTTAAGGTCTGCGGTCGAAGAAGCGAATCTCGAGAATGCGCGTGGAGTATAACAAATGGAAGAAGAAAGAGCACGGATGGCATGGATTTATATACGAAAGATGTCGATACGTTACGACTAAAGAGAGAATTATTTAATCGCGAACAGTTTCTTGATGGTAGTCGGTTAGTAAACACTGAAACGAACACACCGACGAATAATACCTTGGAAAATAACTGCCAGAGAAAAGTTATCGGTTGAGTGCTATGGTGACTCATAGTTAAATGGCAAAGGCACGATTATTCAACGACCAAATTAACATCCGTGGCCTTCATTTTCTTTTTCCTTTTTCGATAATACGTTCTATTATCGCGGCTTTTACGAAATTGTAATGATAGTACGGTTTAACATGCGTTAAAGCTTCCTTTTGAAGATGAAGTTAAAAGGAAATATTGTGTTTAACGATAGTAGTGCACTTAAATGCGATACTTGGCATTTAAATGCGAAAATTGCTCCAATTATTTCTTTTCTATTTATCTACGTGTTTCTAGTGCTTTTTACGTTTCTGAAACAAACACTTGAACACTTTTTCTGCTGTGTTTCACATTTGGAAAAAATATTGCTTTCGTAATTCATGAATGTCTCTCTAATCAGTGTCTCATCTCGATGTGGACCATCAGGTGCACTCTTGTACAACTTGATGAAAATACAGCAGCATAGACGGAAGCGTCTAACTGATTTGCGAATAGAAAGGCACGTTAACAGCCACCGCACACGCATCTATGATTGCGACCTCACGCCATTGATATTCATTTTCCACGCTTAACCGAGGACACGTGACGATTGACTAATGAACCACCAACGGCGACAGTGATGTAAGTCAATTTCGATCAGACACACGCCGCAAAAACAAATTAAATTATTCTATCTATCCATCGTCGAATCATGATTCTGACTAGATCAAAGACTAATCATATTATTGGGGAATTATATATATATACACACGCAAAAATATAAAACAGAAATAATTAACAGTACAATATATCATCAACATTAAAATAATTTCAATATTAATATTTTAATTAATAAATAATTTTAATATTAACATTTTAATCGATAAATAATTTTAATATTAATATTCTAATTAATAAATAATTTTAATATTAACATTTTGATCGATAAATAATTTTAATATTAATATTTTAATTCATAAATTGATAATTTTAATATTAAAATGATTTAAACAAATATTTAAATTTAATTTTTTCGTTCAAATGCATTGAATCTGAATGGTGAAAACGCAAAACTGATTACCAATGCTAATTTCTGCGCCAGGGTAGATAGATATCGTTCAATCAATTTTCTTCGGTGGGTTTCAGAAATACAGTCTCGAGACACACGAAATTTCGATAAATTGTCGTTCTCTACCTCGAACCATTCACTTTTCATTGGCCATAGACTCCGTCTCGAATATAGAAAAATATTTCTTTGTATTACACGTGTCAATGTCAGCTTAGAAGAAATGTAGCTAAGAAATATCCGTAAGGAGAAAGAACACACGAGTTAAATATGCGAGAAAAATGTTGAAGATCTGATCGACTTTAAAACAGTGGCATATAATTTCTTAAACTATTGTAGCAAAATGGTAAACACGGTTCGACAGAATTAGGGGCAGAAAAGCACGAAGGATAAATTACAAATAGTGAAGTTGCCGAGACCTAATTAAAATTTGAAGCGCCGTCTGTTCATAAATAGCTACGCTCGAACAGATCCGAGGTAAGAGAACGCAAAACTCCTAAATTTCAAACATAACGAAGTCACGTTCGTATTACGAATCCAATCCATGTTGAGAACCACCAGTAGAATACTTAACATAGAATTCGAACTTATTATATACTGCGCTACTCATTTGAAACAACATTTGTTTGAATTTCAATGATTTTCTTCTGGCTAAACGCGAAGCAATGCGAAATTTCTGCTTGAAATTTTTCTAACCAACTTTCTACTGAATTTTTAATTGAAATTCTTTCTAATCTAACACCAATAACAACAATCATGCTGACCTTGTGTTTAATTATTAAAATATCACAATAATCCTGTAATTAAGTGACACAATCAATGTACAAATGATACATTTTACCCATCATCATTTATACTCTGTTCTAATTTTTTTCTATCTCATTACGTATCAAAATTATCCCTGCTTCCCCTAAGATGTAAGGATCGCTTGTATTTCAAATAAAAAAACCAAAAAGTTTTCTATTTTAAGATATTTAGTATTAAATTTATTTTATTAAATAAAAATCCAATAGTACTTATGTACTATGGACATAATGGGCAGAAAAGTGAGCAAAAAAATATATAAATATATAAAATAAAATTTTTTCGTAATTTACCAAGTATACTTAAATTTAGCAAATTGAAAATAATTAACAGGAAGTTATTCCAAATAAGTTGAGAACGTAGAATGAACTACTTGTTAAATATATATATATATATATATACTAAAAAGAAAGAATTGTATTTTATATTTCTTTCATATTTTTTCACAAAGAATCACCTTGTACATAATACTGCATGCATTCTACATACAGTATATCTTATTTAAGTCACACATTTTAACAAATTATTTTTGTTTACAATCAGAGGTAAAAAAGAATACTTAAGAGGAGTGTGTATAATTTCAGGACGCATATTTAGTGATGATAAGAAAAAAATTCGTTCCAAGATCATTACAAATGTTGTTCCAAGGTCATCTTTATTCTTTCGCTCTTTTTTTTTTTTAATTATGCGACGTTTTGATTGATTATAACAATATGATCTTGAAATGAATATAATAATAATAATTTAGATTCAGTTGTCGAGTTAAATAGGGCGCTTAAACAGGGTAAAATGTATCATGTAACTCTATTCTAAGGAAGGTCACAGTTACCTGAGAAACCTGATTGTTTTTTCCTCTGTGTACATGCACATTAAATAAAAATAAGTATAACGTACACACGACAAAGTTGCAACTCCCCTCTTAAAATTGTAAAATTCCCCCCTTGGTTGGGAACTCCTGCTCTATACTTAACTCATATAACATATAACAGTCTCGAGAATTTTTGTCCCAATGACATCGAAAGAGCCGCGCACATTAATGCACATTTTTGTCCACGTGACACGCGGTTTTTAATCCAACAACAATCCGATATAATAATCTTTAAATTGTTCTGCACCTTTGACCACTTGCGGACCATAACAAGTGACCAAACCGTATCGTCGCTTTCTTTTTCTTTTCAACTCGTCGATATCACTGAATAGAATATGATAATACTGGACAGCAATTATTAAGAAGTAATGAATTTATCGTTTGTCTCGCCTGTGTTATACTTAAATATACTTAAAATTGAGAAAATGTTGCAATTTTGAAACAAAAGATTCTCGACGTGGGTGGCACGTCATTCTAACCCAGCGCAAGAGGGTTAACTTCGATCCTACGCGGCGGTCACAAAGAGAGAAGAGAAAAAAAAAATCGATATTTATACAGGATTATTTATAACGCTGGATAATTTTAAACGCGTGATTCAGGATTTCGAGTAAAAGCAACGACAATCTCGGCAAAAACGTTCGCCGATTTTCTAGGCGTGGAAAGGCAGTGAAAGACTTTCTCTCGTCTATACGCGACCGGTGTCAGCTACAAGTTTGCGCAGAGAGGTTGAAGAAGAACACTGGTCGAGAAACGTTGCGCCTTCTCTAGAAGAGTCTAGAGCTTTTTCACGGCTTCTGGTTTGGAAAGAGGTTACCGCTTTATGAAGCCAACGTGGAAAGTGTCAAAATGTTTCATGTCGCTGGTGCAATATTAACATTTTCTTGGAAATATCCTCTCATCTTTCTTTTGTATTATACAGAATGTCTCGTATATTGTGGACAAATGTGCATTAAGATGACTGAAACTGATTGATCATTTTAGCGGAAATAGAAGGGAGAATGAAATTTGTTCATTTGAGACTTTGTTTTTAAGAAAACAGAGAATTAAAAAACCGAGTTAGTGAAAGCGTGTATTTGATAAATTTTAAAATTTAATTTCCCCGAAAACGAAGTTTTTTCTTTTTTAATGAAAAAATTATACAACAGAGCATCTTATAATTAGTTTTTTTTTTCTCATTAAATCGTAACAATAGTTGTAAACGTAGGGAAACACAATCGGCCTCTTCTTTATAATTTTTTACAAATTTATTTTTTATTTTTATTTTATTTTAAATTTATTTTTATTTTTTTTTTTTTTACATATGTCTGCAATGTATAAAACTTAAATATTAAATTTATAATACATACATTGTTAAAACGTGTATATATATGTTATAATGAATGAGGTTCTAAAACGAATTAATTCATTATATTTAATATTTTTATCAGGTTCAGAATTAGTCAAATTGAAGTATACTAGGTGAATTTTTGAACTTGATTTTGCTTCTTTTATATTTTCTTTTCAATTCAATTGCCGACAATATGTAAGACATTCTGTGTAATGTTAATCTATTGCAATATATAAGACATTCTGTGTAATGTTAATCTATTGTTCGATTATTCTCTCTGAAGGAACACCGTACCTAAATCTAGCCAACTCGGATCTCCCTTTTTACAATTGCTTATAACGAACTTGCTGCATTGTACACGATACAATACAATACTGTAATATCTGAACAGACACTTGGAATAAAAGTTGCAATAACAATGTAGAAAAAGAAAGACAAAACGAAAAACAAAATACTTTTAAAAACAGAAACAATCGTAACTAAACCGATGAAATAATTCACAGAAACTGAAGTTTTCGAAAATTTACAAGAGAATGGAGAGAATTATTATTTGGATTGAAGATGTGTCAATTCTTATATACTAAGCACATTTCAGCAAATCACAGTTTATTTTAGTTAAATGATTTTACTTTTTCTTTGCCCCACTATTTCGTAAATAAATTACTGATGGACTATGCAAGGAAATTTCTCAAGTGCAAAGAGTTCAAGCTCTAAATCTTAAATTTCAACTCGAAACTTTTAATTGGAAATATCGAGTAAGAAGCACAGGTTTTCAAAGTTCGTTCTATTTATACTGATAAAAAATTCCTAAGTACGCTTAATGCAACTCTTTTACCAAACGTTCTCGCATTGTTTTCAAAATAAATTCAAAAGTATTCCGCAGTTGCAACTTCCGCCTAGTACAATTTCGTTTCATATCTTTTATAAATTGTTTCGCATAATCCACGAGGCTTGAATAATGTAGATTCGCATAATGCTGCAATATACCTCGTGCCTACGGGCAATCTACCACACTCAATGTTCCGACTCGGCCAACAGAAATTTCAACGTGGAAATTCACATTTTACAAAAATTACCAGCTAAAAAAAAACCATCGTTACTTCGCATTGTGTTTATACTTGTAGGACGCCGCAATTTCAGCCCGGTATTGTTCAAAAAGGCCGTTCCCTTCGAACGTGATCCATTCTTCTGAGAGAAGAACGAAACTTTAGTTCGTCTTAGACCGTTAGGAGCATGTTCAACCATGGACTGTCGTAAACGTTCTTCGTTTGAAACGAGTCTTTGCTAGTTGCTCTTTAAACGACATTCGTATAATTTAGAACGACGTGTATTATGAAATGTTACGATGAACACGAAATTTTCCCCAAAACTTTGCAGATGCTACAAGCTGAGAATATATCGTAGCGAAATTGACCGAACTAAATAACGATTAACCTTAACTTGCGCTGGCAACTGATTGCGGACCATAACGAGTGACCGAACGCAATAATTCGTCGCTTTCTTATCGATCTCGTCGGTATATCATACTGGATAGAAATTATATTGAGAAACAATAAATTTATCATTTACTTTGCCTATTTTGTTTCACTTAAATATACTTAAAACTGAGAAAATATTGCAATTTTGGAAGAAAAAAAAAAAAAAAAAATTTTCGACGTGCGTGGCACGTCATTCCAGCTGGTACTAATTATTAAATAATCGGTAATCGGCTGATTAGCAAACACAACGAGCAATCCAAAAGTATGATTTAAAATTCATTAATCATGAAACGATTACACTTCTGATTTTGTAATATTTCTCTTGTTATCTAAAATACTTCCGTTTATGATCAAAAGTTTATATGACGAATAACAAATTTATATACCTTCGTATATCACAACTGCTATTATTTGATAGACGACCGCATTTTTCACTGTGTTGATGAAAATGACTCGTCGATGTATATCTCGTGTTATTAAACACAGATAAATAATTTATTTATATATATTATTATTATTAAATATATATATAATTATAAAGTGTGTTTAATTACATACGAAAGTATTCCAGAACAAAAAAAATTACACATTTTTTTGATAATTTCATCAGACAATTAAAGGATTAAAGCGATGTGAGGAATATTTTGAATATAATCATGATATGTACAATTTTCAAGATATGAATTATTGATCCCAGTAAAAAGAAATCATTTTAATTAAAAAATTACTGATTAACGATTGAAAGAATCCGGGAAATTATTCATAATTAGCTTGTTTAACGATTAATTGAACGACTGTGATTACATTAGAAATTAATTAATGCTCAACCCTGTGACAGGTAATTTCAAAGATAAAAAGACAGCTTTTATTTTTGTAATTATTTCCTCATGAAAGAAGAGAAAATGTAACTTTTTATCTTGATAAAAGATTTTCAATGGTCAATTGAAGAATGGCGGAGAAAAATCGAAAACGGCATTTTCAACGGAAATGGAACGGAATAAGACTGTGAGTTTGTTGGCGGCGCGAACGAGAAAGTAACTCGTAGGCTTCAAAAATGATTTAATTCACAGCGATGTTCTCGCCAGCTGAAACGGCGACGAAAGAGAAATCGAGCCCCGGAGAAATTCGATTCTAAGTTAAGAATACGGTGGCATGGAAGTTCGCTTGCATCCCTTTACCATGAAATTACGAGGAAATTGCTCCGGCAAGCTCGACTCGATGACTGCTCAAACAACATTTTCTGTCCCATCTTTTTCCTTTAGTTTGCACTTTAACTGATACGCCATTATGAGAATTGGAGAGAACAAAGACCGGTTATTTTTTCTTAGAGAGAGAGAGAGAGAGAGAGAGAGAGAGAGAGAGAGAGAGAGAGAGAGAGAGAGAGAGAGAGAGAGA